TGTATATATTGTCTGAACCAGAACTTTATCAGTTACAGTGTATCATTGTGTCCACTAATGAGACATCATTTTTTTTGGCTTGTGAGGCCTTCCATAAACCAGAAAGGTAGGCTGGATTTCCTGTTCCAAGACAAAACTGGGATATGCATATTGGAAAACAGAGTATAATTGTACACCCAGTCCGCAGGAGAGAATAGGAATGTAAAGAAACAACCATTCCAGCCTGGTGCAGGGGCAGTATTTTCAGAAAGATTTTGACAACCAGTTGGGATACTTTTTTGTTCCATACTCCCCTTTCAAAAATCAGTTAATGCCTCAATAGTTCAATAAGCAGAGATTTCTTCATGAAAACAACAGGTTAATCAAAGCCTTGCTATTCTATCACATAGCCCTAATGGTATTAGTTCTAGTTCCAGTCTGTGAGTTTAGCGTGACTCAACAAAAAAAATCCCTTGCATTCCCAAGTAGGACCCTTATCCTGCTCATGGCATTTCTAAATTGAAATTTATCTAGACAAAACAAAGAATAGATCTTTTGAAAGGAAGCATTTGTTTATATTTTGAACCAAACGAAAAACAGTATCTATAGGTCACAGATGACACACCAGAAATCTCAAAAGAGATCTTTCACTTGTCTGACAAAGTGGCTTCTCTCAGAGAAACCCCATAAAACAGTAGCAGACAAACACAAAAAAAAAAATGTAACCAGCGTATGAAGAATAAGAAAAAAAGAATCAAGCACTGCAAATACATTTGACTGCACATAAAAGTACGAATTTTGCACTGGCTTTCTTAAATGCACCATTTGCAGTTTCTATGCTATATACTTTGAACTAAACATGAATCCTCTTAGAATGTTTTACAGCTAATGCCCATGTAAAGGTAGAAAAGGGTCTCTGTGTTCCCACAACACAGAGAGGAAATACTGAAGTACTGAAAAAAAAATCAGTGGTCTCCAGAGAACAATACATGAGTGTTGGTGACAGCAAGAGACAGAACTCAAAGTTTCAACTCCCTGCCTTATCTTCTCACCCCTAGGCATTTTTTGTCTTGATAGGCAAACAATATCCATACAATAATATAAGAAAAAAAGAAGTTGAATTTGTATTAATACATCTTCCATAAAATTTCCTTGGACTATCTTGTCTGCTTGGCAGTGTCTGAAATACTTAAATACATTCAAGTAAGATATAATCTGTTGGGTAATAGTATTTTTAGTACATATTGAAGTTTCTCTGTCTAGATTAATTTTACTGACCATAGTAATATGTGCAGCCATAACTGGTTCCCACAAAAACCTAATCTGCCCAGTTTTAAAGAACTGGTAGTAAGACCCAGAATTTTCTGAAGAACTGCCTGGAACCTGGTCTAGGACTAAGACTCTATCTTAAGCAATTTAAATGTATATGAAAAACAGGAGAAATATGATAAACTTAACTTCCTGCCCCTAAACTGTCATGTAATAAAGCTGGGATAAATGCAAGTATTTTATAAGCAAGGGGGAAGTGACTGTTTGCATTTTCCTCTTCAGAACACTGCTGTTCGGAAGTCCAAGAAGCACACGTACCCAACAAAAAAGAAGAGACATGTGGAAGGTCACCCTGTCTTCATTCACTCTGCTTGCCTTACTTTGCTTGAAAGCCATTACCGCTATTCGCTGGCCAAGACCTGCCAGGTTGTCACCAGTGCTGATGGCTTAGGTAATGCTCTAGTCCACACACCTGCTCTGATCCGAGCTTGCTGGAACCACACTCACTCATGATTTATTCTACCCATTTTTCTACCAAATGCTCACAATAAGAACAAAACCCTTCAGCTAACAAGGATGAAGATGGGGAGAGGGAACTCCAGTAGAATTTACTTAAAGAATATAGGGAAGCTGTTATAATGAGACTTAATGTACCCAGAGCTTGAAAACGTCTCTGACTGTCTGGAACCTGGCTTGAGTAAACTCAGAATAAACCTCTGTTTAAATTTCATGTGGTAAACATGCTGCTTTAAGGATTTAGGCCCAAAGTGTTTGTTGTCTGGGTTTAAATAGACTTCCTTTGCAGTGGTAATAGATCATTACTGTGTGACAGCAGTAGTGTCTCTGAAATAAGTTAGTGGCCTTCTTTTAAATCCTAGCACAGATGTGACCACATCAGCCTTTCTCACAACTAGTCCCTATGACAAGGTACAGACACCACGAAATGTTATCTTGTGAAATATATTGTCATTGATATAAAGGTTGATACATTACCTTGTATGGTGGCAAACATTTTTAGGTCCCATTAAAGCAGTAGGAGAAAAGAAAGTGCAGGAAACCATTAAACTGCTAAAAAAGGTATAAAGTCCAAAGAGTTCAGCTTCTAATAAGCTATACCAGAGCCTGTGACTATGTCTTGTAGGTAAAGGGCCTCTTCATTTTAAAAGGAGCTTTCAAACTGTTTTGTGTAAGAAGCCTCCAAAAAGTGAAGTTTCAATAGCTATCCAGAAAACCTGTAATCCTTGGTAAATTTTCAAAATAGATACATAAAATATGCAGTTATGTAGATGCCAATATAACTATAAAAAGATTTCTTTTTTATCTTAGCTTTTTTTATACGACCGAACAGGGTATACAGAGTTTGACTACGGCATTGATTGACTTTAAGACATTCTAGTTAGGCACCCATTATATTGCAAAAATGTTGAATCTCAACTGAATTCACAACACAAATCATTCTATCGAAACTGGATAGCTAATTGGCAGACTTATAAAACTAGAAAACAGTAACAGAATAGATGGACTGTAATAAAACATCTGATATAGCATCTCCCAAAAGTTTTATTTGAAAAGTTAAATTAATTCAAATTGGCTTCCATTGAAGCATTAAACTATCAATTGAAAAGTGATGAAGAGACATTAACCATGCAAGATCACAAGATTTGCTGCATCAAGTCAGAAGGAATGTTTTGCAGGCTGCCTCAGGAAAACATGTGAAGCCTGCTTTTATTCACTGGTTTTACTGAAAAAAACTTGGGCAATCCTAGGATGTTCATTACAACTCCACTCTCCATTAATCCCACTGGGAAAGCCAAGCATCACCTCTAAGGACTCGATCCTGTAGGTCACACAACTTTGTACTATCTCTGCTGGTTTTAGCCTCAGCTTTCTGCTGTGATATTTTGGCTCTGTGATCATGTAAGCTTCCGACATTCAAATCACCTCTCAAAAATGTTCTCAAAAATGACTTACTGGTGAAAAGCCATAGTTCCTATTACCATCACTCAGGCAAGATGGATACATTTATTGGAAGTAGTATTGAGAAGATAATGTGGTTTGTTTTTTGGTTTTTTTTCAACTTTTAAGTCTGTCCACAAAGCTACCATGTTTTGCCTGATGACATCAAATAGTCATGTATATATTGAAAAGTGATGTATTTTGATATCACTACACAACATCTTTGCCACATATGGAGCTGCACAGAAGGTGTTTGTGGTCATTAACACCTATCCATTGCAATGGTGACTGGAGCCACTCTGTCAAGAAACAAAAAAAAACACAAACAAACAAACAAACAAACAAACAAACAAAATATATATATATATATATATATATATATATGGGTTGTCTCATCATGCATGGTCCTCCTGAGACTATTCATAAATTATTACCGATTTCTAGGAGTTTGCACCTCTAACACTCAAGAAAAATCAGTAGTCTGATTTCTGAGGAAGTACTACTACTTATATTCAAAACCTCTGACGTGTTAGAGACTGATAAATTGTGACAATTGGAGGAAATGTCACTTGAAACATCATGAGTCGGATATTTGTGTGCATTTCTGGGTGGTTGAAATGGCTGGGGGATTGTTAGAAGTTAATGGGTCAGAAGTGTTGGGGCTGAACATCAGGCAGCATTCACCAGAAGTGTGGTCTGGTTAAGTCTTGGAGTAAATTTCTGCTGGAAGTTAAGCAACGTGAAATGTTACATATGGGCTGGAGAATCAAAGGAGGCAACAATTCTGTGAGGGAGGATTTGTAAGAAAGAACAATACCTTCCTTATACTCTCATTAGTTCACATTTGTAAAAGCATCCTACTGATTCACATAGAGTATCTTGGGGGGGAGGGGGCGTGTCTCATTAGGAGAGGTTATAGTTACCTGTGTAAAAGCATCAATAAGGAAAAAAACCACTTGGTGAGTCAGCAACTTAAGATCACACGAATTAATGAGAACAAAATGTCTGCTTACATGCTGTTATGACAGTAGATCTATCATATGTGTTCAAGAACGTGGGGTTTGTGGCAGTCAGTGGTGGCTATCTGCACACTTTTTGAAGTGTTAAAGGAATACATGATAATTATTACAAGGTTTTCTCTAATCACAATCCTCCTACTCAGTCAAAAGATGATTAAAACACTGAAAATAAAGAAAACCACCCCATTAGTATGCTTCAAATCACACTTGACAATACTACCCATGATAAAAAGAGATCAACTTTGGTGGTTCTGGAGGGAGACAAACCATTAACCTTGCATTAATTGTCTGCAGCATTCAGATGTTATGACTTTATCAAGAGTGAAGAGTTTAGATTTCCTAAGTACCTTTAAAGCGTGGTTCTCAACTCTCTTATATACATAGTAAGAGGTGGGGTGGAGGGGTGCATATGCATACATGTGTGAGAATATGTCTATGTGTAAAACCAAACATGCCTTTAGCCACCTTTCCACCAGGAGGCCTTTTTTCTTCAAAGCTCCAAGTTCTGAAATCTACTGGAAAAGTTTAAAGCCAAAGAAAGCTAGAAGTCCAAAGGGTCAAATAGCTAGCTTCCAAGTATTGTTTCATTCATAAGATCGTGTCAGCTTTCATTGAGCACACAAGTTGAAGCATTTCAAACACTTTGCTTTACATTCATTGATTATCAACTTCGACTTCTGCCATCATTCAGCTTTCTGGAATCACACAAGATTATATGTGCACTACAGACTGATCAAATTGCTGAAAATACTGAAAAAATGGTGTTTTAACTTACAGATGATTATGCATTGGAAACAGAAAAAAAAAAAAAAAGATGTGAAAGTGATGAGCAGCTTCTCCACTCAAAAGATGAGAGAGTTAGAACGAAGTTAGAAGAACCACAACAGCTTTTACCAGCTCAGAAGCTGTCCTTATCCTAGGTAAAAGGATTTTCTAAAACCTTATGGTAAGCTATGAGCAGCTGGCATCAACACCCATCATGCGCAAGGCAATATTTATAAACACAAAACACATTGCAACTTTCTTAAGCTTGAAAAAAGAAAGTTACTTTCAAAAAGCACACAACTTTCATGAGTTTAGTAAAAAAGTGTCTTGGAAAATTTTTTGGGGAAAAAAAAAGTGCTGTTTTTTTCCTCTGCAGTGAAAAGAAACCCTGAACTTTTGCTAATGGTCAACAGGAGTAATTTTTCACTCAAATCAGTTTTCTTGTTTCTGTATTGAATGAGCAGTCATATGGAAGGAGTAGAAAGTAGGCATCATGGATCATTGGGCTGCTAATAAATGACAGATGTCCTACAAGCTCAGAAAAGAAGGAAAAAGAGGAAAGAGTTTACATTATTTTTTTTAGTCTAAAGGGAACTTTTATATATAGAAAATAAAGCCATTCTGACTTCTGATTTATGCTGGAATAAGATGAGAGGAAAGCTCTGGCCTGCCTCCAGATGACTTACCTATAGAACGTTCCATACAGTCTTGCACTCTGGTACGGACAGGAGACTAGAAACGGTCGTATTGCAGTGATACAACCAGTGTCCTGCTCCTCTACTCAGCGCTGTGACCAGTGACACACTCTTAACCTGCTGCGGGTGGGACATCTGTTAGCTCCAGCCACAGGGTGGATAAACACAACTGTTTGCTTAACAGCACTATCTGCTTTCCACAAACTGAACTAGATCAGAGGCAAGGCAAGGCAAGGAGCAGAGCTTAAAGCAGACCTGTGTGGGAGGGTTCACCAGGCCCTTGGGTCAAACACTTGCCACAGGCCTCCTCCAAGGCAGGGACAGACTGCTCACTTACCCTTTATTCCTCCTCATGGATGATGGTCGGCAGCAACTCTCGCTCTTAATGGGGTTTTCTCTATTTACTGAGGCAATAACTTCATTATTTCTGCTATCCCTCATTAGCAATTAACAGCTACCTTTGCAATATGTAACTACCTTCTGCAATGTCTGTATTCCCCCCCCACTGATTAGTTGTGCCTAATTTGTTCAAGATGCTTGTTAAATCACTAAACCCTGTGAGAAGGTCTACATATAGTAACTGGACCATGAGAGAATCAGCTTTAATTCCTGATGCAATGTTAACACATGGTCTTAATAAGAGGCTCTTTCTCTTCAGTATTGTGTTATCGGTTTTGAATTGTTGAGTCGTAATCTCTCAATCAATCATCTTCAAAATCAGTATGCTTTAATCATCAATCAAATGCATTTTTATGGGAAAGCAGGAAGTATTGTTGAGCAAGGAGGCAGCAATTTTTAAAGCTCTGTTTTTCTTTGCCTGCCTGAATTAAAGAAAAATTATAGTTCCTGCAGACAGCTATGGCATCACAACAGAGTTATACTGCAGAGTTCTGCACTTTCTGGGAAAAGGCCTCGTGTCTAGGAAGTCAGCTAAATACACGATTGAAGAGCTACTGAAGAACCAACTTTAGATGAATGTAACCTTGATTCCCTGACCCAATGTACCCAGCTTTGGGCTTTACCCCTGAAGAATCAATGACTGCTGACTAGTGACCATAGGAACACAGGACCTCAAACACCAGTTTCTAAAATGAAACTGCATTAGTAATGCTAATTATGAAGTATGGCCTGTTTTCATGTTTTTCAAATTAATATAGCGGAGAAATACTGCAAAGATGTTTGAATTTCTGAGCGAATATAAAGCTGTTGAACTTTAAGGGGGAAGTTTCAAAGGCACAAATGGCACTTAACTTCCAATTATGCCTTGGAAAATGTCCCACTAATGGCTAATATAGCTGATTTATTTTCATAAACTTTAATTACTTCACACTATTTTTTTTTACTGAACAATATAATCACTTCAATAGAGAACTTCAAACACAATGTGCAAACTAAATAGATCTTCTCCAGTGCCAGGTTACCATATACAAATTTTAATTCCTTATCAGTTCTAATATTTAGACATCTAGACAAGCTTGAATACTTTTACTTGTTATAACATCTGCATACAACAGATGTACTAGTTTACATTAAATCTGATTGCTAATATTTTAGCTGGAAGAGATTTTACCGATGTCATGTGGATCAAATAATTTGGGGTGAAGACAATATTTTTGTTTTGGCTAGTATAAAGTCAGGGGCTTCTCATAATTGTAGTAATACAAGCAATAGTAGCAGCAAAGATCTGGCTCATTGCAATACCAGTACTTGGGAGATCCGGCAGGACAGACAGTGAGGAAAAAAATGTGTAATTTTAGGTCTCCTTGCATGCTATTCCCTTGTGCTCTAGGTGTAGGCTGAGACATTTGATAAGTATTCAGTGTGATTTAGTGGCAGATTTTTTAGAGCAGAAGTCGTGTTTTATTTTTATTTTTGAACAGAAGAGTCTTAATTAAGGTCTTTTACCTGCCCTGAGGATTTCCAAGACCCTTCTGGAAAGAGCCTGCCTGCAGGCAGGGTTGTCTGCTCTGAGTCGAGGTGAGAGCAGGTACTGTCTGCTAAAAAGAAAGAAGATATTGCCCTCTAGTGCTGAAAGCAAGCAGAGAATGCAGAGTCCAAGAGGGGTCTTAAATTATTGTTTTCAAGGTACCTGTCTGTCTCATGCTAACAAAACTAAGGCTTGTTGCAGTTAGCTGTTTTGTGGGCAGACTATGCACCCAGCGAGACTGCTGTTCCCACAGAGAGCAATTCTCCTCATCCGATCAACCCTCAGAGTCAGGCTGAGCAACTCATCAACGTCACCAAAACTGGAACACAGCCTCCCAGAGGATGCTTCACTTGATCTAGTTTTATCTTTTGATAAAATCTTAATTGGAGGTGTAATAAGAAGCGAGATCCTGGCAAGCAAACAGAACTGCAGAACAAGGGAAGCACCAAAAGGGGGGTAAATACACTTACAATTATCAGCATTATTTTAATTTCCAAGTGATAGCTGTGATTTCTTTTGTATTTCTTCTCTCATATGTAAGCTATTGCTAAATACAAAGCCTTCGTCTCATTTCTCTTCATTTCTGTCCATGGATAAACTACCCACCTTGCTCCCCTTTTGGCCAATTGCTGCGTGACATGCAGCAGGGTCACTGATGGAGCAGCCCACAATACAGGGGTAGGAATCTCCCAGCAAGCTTCCAACTGAGAAGGGTAAAGCAGATGAAAAACTGAACCTGACAAAGTCACAAACGGTCTCAGCAACAACTCCCTCTCTCTAAACTGTGAGAGCAGCAACAAGCCTCTCATGAGCAAGTAAAATATTAATTCACCATTACTTCAACATTCTCTTCATTTCTTGGTAAGCTCCCAAAAGCAGTCAAGTACTCTAATATTAGGAGTGGTATATGAACCATTTAAAGCAAAATTAAAACTTCTAACTTTCATTTTAAAATTCCTGAATGAGACAATCAAGAGGTTCCTTAGAACTTCATACCACAGTTATAAAATATACTGCTAGACAAATTTCTTCAGTACTTTTCTTACAAGCATTTTCCAGTTTTAGTTGTAAAGCTTAAGATGAAGAAATAGTTTTTGGAATGAAACTGAAAAGTTAATCTGAGTTAATAGAGGAGGACACATCAACTGACAAGTATCTGCCTGAAATGAGTGTTTCTTCCTTGCACCTCAAAAATTATCCATTAAGACTCACATTATTCCAATAGGTAAACCATATAAATAATTCAGAAATATGTTAATTTTAATTTAAATCCATAGAGCAGCATGGGGTATTTATTTAGTTTTAATTGTCTCTGAGTTACATGGTTTATTACCAATGGTAATTTTTCATTAATTTAGGTAGAATGACCGGGAATTGCACAAGTGCTTCAGAGCTGGCCTGGCAGTCAGGTTTAAGGACCTCGTACTTCAGCCATACAGCACAGCAGGGACAGACCGAAGGCTCAGTCCTTTAGCTGGAGGTGTCATGGCCCAGGGCACACACCCAGCACTCACAGAACAAATCCCTTATGGTACTTTGCATGTTACATACCACCTCCCTTTCACAGAATCACAGAACTGTCTAAGTTGGAAAAGACCTTGAAGATCACCCAGTCCAACCATTAACCTAACACTGACAGTTCCCAACTACACCAGATCCCTCAGGGTTATGCTGACCCGACTCTTAAACACCTCCAGGGATGGGGACTCCACCACCTCCCTGGGCAGCCCAGTCCAACGCCCAACAACCCCTTCTGTAAAGAAATGCTTCCTGACACCTAGTCTAAACCTTCCCTGGTGCAACTTGAGGCCATTCCCTCTTGTCCTATCACTTGTTACTTGGTTAAAGAGACTCATCCCCAGCTCTCTGCACCCTCCTCTCAAGTAGCTGTAGAGGGCGATGAGGTCTCCCCTCAGCCTCCTCTTCTCCAGACTAAACCCCCCCAGTTCCCTCAGCCGCTCCCCGTACGACCTGTGCTCCAGACCGTGCACCAGCTCTGTTGCCCTTCTCTGGACACGCTCGAGTCATTCAATGTCCTTTTTGTAGTGAGGGGCCCAAAACTGAACACAGGAATCGAGGTGCGGCCTCACCAGTGCTGAGTACAGGGCTCAGATCCCTTCCCTGTCCCTGCTGGCCACGCTATTGCTGACACAAGCCAGGATGCCATTGGCCTTCTTGGCCCCCTGGGCACACTGCTGGCTCCTGTTCACTGGGCTGTCAATCAACCCCCCCAGGTCCCTCTCTGACTGGCAGCTCTCCAGCCACTCCTCCCCAAGCCTGTAGCGCTGCTGGGGGTTGTTGTGGCCCCAGGGCAGCCCCCGGCATTTGGCCTGATTGAAACTCCTCCAGTTGGGCTCAGTCCATGGCTCCAGCCTGTCCAGGTCTCTCTGCAGAGCCTCCCTACCCTCGAGCAGATCAACACTCCCACCCAACTGGGTGTCATCTGCAAACTGACTGAGGGTGCACTTGATCCCCTCGTCCAGATCATCAGTAAAGATGTTTAACAGGAATGGCCCCAACACCGAGCCCTGGGGGACACCACTCATGACCGGCTGCCAACTGGATTTAACCCCATTCACCACAACTCTTTGGGCCCGGCCATCCAGACATTTTTTTACCCAGCAAAGCGTGTGCCCATCCAAGCCGTGAGCAACCAGTTTCACCAGGAGAACGCTGTGGGAAATGGTGTCAAAGAAACATCCCCAAGGGTGGTAGATGTATGCATATCTGTACCCTACATTTTTTGTAGCCTACTCATTCACCTGGAAAATCCATGCACAATCTTCGTCATTCCAGATGGTCCTTAAACAGACTGTAAAGTACTGATCACTTTAGGTACAGAATGGAAACTGGAAAGAAAAGTCTTTCCTAAAAGTTCTCATGTTTTTCTCTTTGGTTCCCTTAGTTTCCCAGTCTAACACAGAGTTTATCAACCTCAAGCTACGTAAGTATTTTGAAAGGGATAACATGGACCATGGCTGAATAATAAACATTTTCTTTGTCCTAATTTTGTCCTACACTCTTCAGTCATTCTCATCTGTAATAGCAGTGAACCACTTTAGATAATAAATGTCCATAAGGGATACACGTCCTCAAAAATTAATGTTTAGATTTTTATACTCTTAAGAATATGGGAGAGCTTTTTAATGCACCTTATCTTAATACATCAAGAAAGCAAGTGACACTGAGTGCTCCTCGAACTGTTCATAAACTTCCCTCTTAACTCAGATTACCAGTATCAATCACCATCTTTATTAACATGTGTTTTTAATTGCTTTATGGATTTTAGTTTATTTACTCTTCTTTTACTTCTTGTTGCAGATAATGTTAAGAGTCCTCTTCATTGATTATTGGCAGCTGCTGCATTCTGAGAAAACCTCTTTCAATTTAGCTTTCCAGATACTTTGACTTCCCATTCCAACAGCTTTATAACTTCCCCAACAGCTTCATAAATGCACTGCAATGGTCACATGAACATCTTGGGAGGGGAATCAGCACCTCTGCATCTCCTCATTCCCATGGCACTTTAGGAAGAGAGAACTAAAAACCAGCAAGTCCAACAGAATTTGGAAGTCCTGCGAAAGATGAATCTAATCGTGAAGCTCCGCAGAAGTTTCAGAACACTGGTCATTCTCCTGGCAACCTTCTGCTTGGCGAGTATTGTCATTTCTGCCTATTACCTCTACACTGGCTACAAGCAGGAAATGGCCCTTGTGGAAAACACTGGAGAAGTGGAGTGTGAAGATCTCAAGATTCTACCATACAGGTCTGTGGAGCTGAAAACAGCTAAGCCAATTGATCCATCTAAAACTGATCCCACCGTCCTCCTGTTTGTGGAAAGCCAGTACTCCCAGCTGGGACAAGACATCATAGCTATCCTTGAGTCCAGCAGATTTCAGTACCACATGGTCATCGCGCCAGCTAAGGGGGATATTCCCCCTCTCACAGACAATGGAAGAGGAAAATACATGGTTGTTATATATGAGAATATTTTAAAGTATGTATCCATGGACTCATGGAATAGAGAGCTTCTGGAAAAATACTGTGTGGAATACAGTGTTAGCATAATTGGTTTTCATAAAGCCAACGAGAACAGCTCCCCAAGTATAAAACTGAAAGGTTTACCATTACATCTTTACAATAATGTAGCCCTCAAAGACTGTGTAGTAAACCCTCAGTCTCCCCTGCTGCGCATTACAAAAGCACCAAGGGTTGAGAAAGGTCCACTGCCTGGCGAAGACTGGTCAGTTTTCCAGTTTAACCATTCCACGTATCAACCTGTGCTTTTAACTGAACTGCAGACTTCCAGACCGCCCCCCGTGGCATTGCCAAAGGCTGCTCTGTATGCAACTGTCATCCAAGACTTAGGGCTTCATGATGGGATTCAAAGAGTCCTTTTTGGAAACAACCTGACCTTCTGGTTGCACAAACTGATCTTTATTGATGCTATCTCTTTCCTGTCGGGGAAAAAGCTCACCCTGTCTTTGGATAGATACATTCTGGTTGACATAGATGACATCTTTGTTGGGAAGGAAGGAACAAGGATGAACATCAAAGATGTGAAGGTAAGGCAAGAATTGGGGGATACCATCCCAGACCCATATATGTGAAAATGGGTATTTAAAAAGAGACAAAGCTTGTAAAAGCTGGCAAGCTCCATTTCCTAGTAAAGGCTGAAAGTACACAAGTGTAGCTAGCAGATACAGAAGCTGTATCCTGAAATTACTTTAAAAGTCTGTATACCCACATACATACACAGAGGTGCATTTGTGTATGTTGATACATATAGATGGCTTCATACAGTAATGCATATAGTGAATGGACTGGCTACCTCTTGCTTATATACGTTCTGCTCAAGGGCTTCACCCAGAGCACCTGGGGAACAAAGGAGACTTTTATACCTCACATTACAGAGATCTTTCTTTAGATAAAAGGATCTCTGTTTCTGGAGCAAGTTCGCTGCTAAAATACCTAAATTTTTGATAAAAACACATGTTACGAACAAATGTTTTGATAACAAGTTTTTTTATCCCTATGGGCTTACAGACATACACATGTATATATGTATGTCATATATTTATAAGACAATTTATAGGAATTTTCTGTAGCCTTCTTTCACTATTTCTGAAAATTAGAACAACAGAAGATGGTTACCTTTTTAAATCTCATATACCTATCACTATATTTAAAAAGTCTCATTTTGACTTACAAGACTTAGCAGGGTAGTTTTCATCCACAGGCAGGCATTTAAAGTTACCAGTGACAGGATGGAAGCATAGCCTACACTTCAGCAAATGAATAACCATCTCATATGGTGAAAAGCCACAGACTATTATTTGGGGTCTCTTTTATTTTTGTAGTCTGTAGTATCCAGGGACACCATTAGATTCGTTCAGAGTAATTTTCAAATATGCATGCAACTTGGAAAAATACACAGAACTCAAGAGCATGACAGTTATTTCCTTGCAATTTTCCACATGTGGGAATCATCATATTCAGAGATTAACTGAAGTTATTAAGCATGCAACATCACATGCTCAAGCCTTTATTCTGGAGCTTTTTTTCCTGTAAATATCCCAATGCTTTAATGACAAATAAGCAATCCTTTTGTTTTTAAACATGAATTTCTATTTTGTTTCTTAATCCTTATTTCCATTTTTACAACTTCTATATTCATCTGCCTCCTCATCCAGATCATTAGGAGAGGTATTGAAATACCCAGCAAAAGCAGTAGTCTCGTATACAATTAAAACAATTTTGCACATCAGAACAGTTTGGGTAATTCTATTAGCCAAACCAGGCGTATAAATGCTCATCAGGGCTGATTTCTAGCATCAGGCACTCTAAGTGCCTGGTGTCTTGAGATCTGAGCATTGTGCACAAGCTCAGTGATCAAGTGCTCTCTCTCCGGAAATATATGGTAAAATGCTCTGAGAAGGGGTTTGTATACAAGAGGAAATTAACTGAAAAGGCAATTGTGGAACAAGTTTTTCAGCAATAGCTTACTGCCTGCACATTTCTGAGTGTATCTTTTTCTGATGAGGTTGGCTCCACTAAGGAAGTCTATTATTCTACATTGGTTGAAGAGCCTCTATTACTATAAGAAGGGTGTCCAGAATCACTTGGAAATTCAAATCATAAATAATCTCACTAGACAGAAAAAAACCCAAGTCACCTCCGTTTTATCCAGCAATCAACATTACTAGGCAAACCTTTACACCTGGGTTTGGCAGAGCAGCCATGCTTCATAGCTCATTATAGGAGACACAGCAGAAAACTCTAGATCCAGGGGCTTGAGTAGCAGCTGGATGGCAGAACTGTAGCTGTTAAAAGCATTCAGCATCACTTTTATATGCTGTGCACATTTATGCGTCTGAAAACCAGGTAGTCCACACTGCTGAATATCTTGAAAATAACAAGAGAAAGTATCTTCTAGGAATTCAGACTTTTTTTTTTTTTAATTATTTTTTTTAAAGGAATGTGTGGTTAGTCTTCTTTTTATGGATTATGTTTGAGTCAAGGTATGACAGGAAGCTTTCGTTCTTCCCACATTTCTCCAGTGCTAATTTAACAGCCCACTTCCTTCACAAAACCACCAATAGTGCCGCTCATGGGATAAATCCTCTCTTCACCTCAAACAAGAAATCATGCAACAAACACCAACCATGGAGAGAAATCTTTTGCAGGCACATGCTCAGAACCAACATTCCCATCAAGCACTCTTCTGGGGACAATAAAAATTTTATCTCCCTTTTAGACATTTTCACATAAAACCATGCTGCAACTTGACCATCCATTGATATTCTGTCCTTAACATCATGGGTTTCATTTCAAATCAGATGCCCAATACAGATTTGTTCCTCAGGGTATTTCACAAACACTTGCTACACAGATCAGTCCATTCTTACAGACTGGATATTCCCAGAATACATTAACATTCAAAACTGGCTGCTTGCTAATGAACATAACACCCAAATCAGAGTGTACTTTGGTTAGTTTACAGTAAAGGATAATTACAGTCAGTTAGAGAACAATCTCCCAAGTCACTTGGGGATGGAGGCAATTAAGAATAAGCGGTCCTGCCTTTACCCCTTAAGGCAGAGCAAATTCTTTGCTTGAAAAGCAAAAGTATCAAGGGGAGGCAATATTTAAGAGGCTGATATTTAAGTGATGTCAAAATATTGCCATGCATTTTGAAGCAACGGCTGTAGCCAGCTACTCAGTGAGGGTTGTGCTTTCATGGCCAAGGAGAGGCTGTTTCTGACATACAGAAGAACCATGAGATTTAGGGGCAGGTGGTGCTTGTCCTCTAAATGGCCCTGATAGCTATAGGGATTAGCACAGGCTCTGTATGTTGTTTAAGAATGTGGCATAATTGGGATCATCTCCTTTCTTCCCTGAACTGCATATTACAGGTATATTTAGCACCAAAACCCCCACAAAACATCCCAACAACAAAAAACCCACAGTCCACATCTATAATGTCATGCACCTCAAAATTCATTTCATCCTGTCCCCTCAATACAAGTTTAAAACGAAAATATTTGTTATTTATACAGTGTTTTCAAAAACAAGAGAACCATATATATAAAGCAGTGTTTGTAATGAAACAATTTCTCAACACAGGACAACCACCACTGCATTATACCACATCATTATTTCTCCAGTTCCTTCAGTTCTTAGCATTTGTTACTGCAAACAGCGTAGGTTCACTTCTCAGAGTTACACAGACTTTCTGTTAGGCTCTCCTAAAGGGGCCATGCACAACCATGTGCCTTGGGAATGCTTTCATACACAGCAGATTCCCAGGTGCGTGCAAGAAACTGCAAATGAACAATTACACACTTCCTAAACTGTCCAGAAAATACAACTAAATAACATTACTCTGTTCAACCTCTTAGGTGTTTCCTTCTGGTGACCAAACATACAATAACTGCCAACTCAAAGGACATTCAACTAGAAATAAATCTTCTGATTACAGTATTTTTATGTAACAATAAAGAGACAATTAATACTGTTCCTGTGTAATTACTTCCTGCAACTCAAATGTTTTTATCCCCTTACAAAGCTATTTCTCAATTAGGTGCTTCAAGAATATATATAGTTTTATAAAGGGTGGCATCAGCTAGAGAAACAGAGATTAAAGAACAGAGTTATTATGGGCTCTGTTTACCACAAAAGATGTCCTGGTCCTTTGTATTACAGAAGTTTTGCAAGGTCATATCTGGCTAAGTAATTAAACAGGAACTCAGCAGAGCCACAGAGAGCTATTTTCCCAAGCTTTGCAGAGATCTATCTTGAGCCTAGCAAGCCTCCGCAAATGAATTTCTCCCTTTCCCTCCTGCCAATGTATTATCTCACTACTTGATTTTAGAAAACAAAAAAGACTGAAGAATTCATCAGTTAATTTGCAGATTTATTGGATTTGTGTACTTGCAAATTATATTGGTTCCCAGCCACACAAATCCAGGATCACCAGCATCAGTGGTTTAGCAAAACAAACCTAGAAATGGCTGGTTATGATCTGTCTGGGATTGCCATACAGAAAGAATATAGAAATTTTATCTTTAAAGTTTCCTTTTAACTGAACACAAACAGAGCTGCATTACCCAAACAGGTAGTAAGAATTTACTAAAGTCTTGTTGTTGTTGTTGTTGTAGTTGCTACAGTATGTGCTAGTACAACATTTACTCAGTCAGGAAGAGCTCAGTGCAGCAACCAGGGCTTTTTCAACACCTTTCACAAAAACACTTGTTATTGTTAACTCGAAAAACCCTGCAAGATGACAATACATGCTAAAGCTCTTATTGTTTAATAAATAAATAAATAAAACATAACAGAAAGCATTAGCCTACCACTTTCCACTCTCCTCCTGGCTCTAAGGCTTGCACTGTAGCACAGCTTCCCTTCTATAGTCTTATTCCAGGTGGACTCTCTCAGGAGCCACCTGCTTCCCTCTCTTCACCCACTCTCTCATCTAGAGCCAATAATCAAATAGAAATTGCTCATCCCAGCATCATCATATCACAAAGCCCCTTTCTCTAAAAGCTACCCTTCCCTTTTCTGCATTCATTGCTGCCATAAGGGCAGGAGTATGTTTGTGCTTTCTGAGGTACTATAAATTGATTTAGCAATGCTTGGGAATGTTCTTTGTGTTGCTGTCGCCTGCAGTCCCTGCTTCTCCTTGCAGCACCAAATAACCCATCTGCATTCTCCCCCCTTCTTCCACTCTAAGCTTCAGTCCACTTACTTCAGTGGAAATAAGAATTACATTAGTCTCTGACACCTCGTCACTTCCACAAGTCTGCACTTTGTGTTTGACCTTCACCATCATTAAAATGCCGTGAACACTTAAAGGCTGTGATTTCTTGCTCATTTTAGTATTTTAAAGACAATAATTTATGTTGGACTTGCATCTTTTCTGATAATTTCAAATTAAAGGGTACTGGCTCAGCAGGAGTCTGAATACAATAACTGAATCTCTCCAGTATATGCTTTTTCTGATCTTTCTGCAAGGACAATTGCTTTCAGGTGGGATAATGAGAAATGTCTGGGCTACATCACC